CTCCACCTCTACCATGTCTTACATACATACTTTATTTATTCCAGAGCTGCATACTTTATTTATTCTAATTGAGAGCTGCCAAGAGGGATTGTTCGTAGGCTATGGAGTTTTTAACCATGCAGCTGGAGGCAACTAATTAAGATAGGGACATTCGAAAAATGTTTTCTCCTTTCTTTTGTATAACAAACAGAATTATGACCATAATATTCGCTTGATGTTTACAGCTAATTTTTACACGGCTAAACGTGATATGTTTAAAAGAGTAAAAAAGTGAAAAAACCAAACATTTTCGACGTTTCCTACTCTTTTAAACATATCCTTTCAACCTTGTAAAATTTAGTTGTAAACACAATTATCTTTTGCTTTTTTGGTTGACAGCCTCAAGACATCTTGAGATTTAGCAAAACTCAGTTTTCTTTGCGTTCTCATATACTTAGCTTTACAGTTAGCTAGAACAACTAAATCTTTATTGACTTGACGTACAACTTAATTCTCAGAACAAACATGAAAAGAAATGTATGTTAATCGGTTAAGAGAATTTCCATTTTAAGCTCAGGAATTAACTCTCCGCACGGAGCTAGATAACGTTCCTATCGTGAGAGATCTGGGCGCGATCGAGATATGCTTACTTCGCGAAGCAGCCTTACAACATCCAATATCTAAAAACGTTTTATTTCCATTCCCGTCTGTTGAGAGTTACAGCAAGCGTTGCTTTTATCAAGCGTTTTTCTGTAAGCCAATTATCCATTCATAGCTCCAAAATTAAACACAATGCTAGCTGAATAAAAATAAAACAAATGGCTTAAATTTACGTGAGCCCTTCATGACCGTTCCTAAATTATTTTCATAGAAAGGGGGCGAAGTCACGTCATTGTACGTCACGCTACGTAACGCCACTCCATGCACTTGTGACACGTTAGGTCACGTTACTTTATCGAGTAAGGTTTCGTGTAATGCACATAGTTTCAAGCGTCGTTATTATTAATAAGCTGAATTTTAATTGGTGCTCAACTGCGGTTTCCACGGCAACCACGAGTTATTTTGACCACTACTTCCCTGCACGAAATATTTGTTCTACCCTCGCTGCTCCCTTAGCTTGTAACCTGAAATCCGGCTGAATCCAGTGGCCTTTTGTTAGTTTGCTCCTGCAATGCATGTGCCAAACAACTGGAAAAAACAAAGTGACTCTAGCCAGGGTTGAATTCTCGATCTTGGGCCCGATGTAGTCAGCATCAAGCCGACGAATAAATGGCTTACTTGCTAATGTTTGCGAAATAAAAAATAATTTAGGAGTGGCCAAAAAGGAGTATTTCAGCAACCACGGCATTTTCACAGATCTAAATATATTTATACCAGCTGATTCGCCTGGACGGTTGCAACGGTGAACCGGTTCACTCTGTACAGAAAAAAAAAATAACAACAGCAAAAACAACTGGTTAATCAATTTATTCTTTGCGGAACTGAGTGGAAAAATCAAGATTATTAATTACTCAATTAATTAACAAACAGACAGAGAGACAGACACACAGACAGACTAACCAACCAATCAACCAACCAACCAATTATAAACCAACCGACTGACGAGCAAATGAATACATGCAATAAGTTAACTTTGACTTAATATATAATGAAACAGTCGTGCAACTTCCCATTTATATAGCAGCGAACACCTGCCCTCTCGACCCCCCCCCCCCGCCCCAGTTGTAACGAGACACCCCGATCAGGACAATAACCGTTCCTTGATATGCGAATGATAAAAAATGTATCAAACATAGCCTTATTGCGCGCATAGGGGAATGCAACTGTCGAAATTAGAAGTTTATGACATACAATTGCCAAACTATGAAACTGTCATGCAACAAGAATAGCCAATCATACAAGGAAAATGATGTATGTGTGGCGAACATCAACCTTCCTTTTCTAAATAATAACAGCATCTAAAAATTAAGGTATTGTAGAGGCAAAATTAACTCTCTCACTTTCTCTCTCTTTCTCTCGATTATCCTGTTTATCAATCTTTGTTCACTTACCTTGACAGCGCGGACAGCATTCATTTTGGACTTTGTGAGATTTCTCGCATAATAGCTCGTCGCATATTTTTGCTATACACCGAATTTCTCCTTCCTAAAAAAGAAAAGTTGAAGAACTCTTTTTGAAGAAGAACTGAGTAACACAATATTTTTCAGGGCCATGGTGCTCATCGGATAGGCGGGTAACTACGGTTCCAGTATCATGAAGCGAGTCCAACGCAGGCAACTCTCCACTGAGCATTCAGCCAGCCAAAGGGAGAGACAACTGGGTTGAGATAGGCACCGTTCGAGTAAGGTGTCTTGCCCAAGAACACAACACAGGGGCCTTCATAAGTGATTAACACTTGTTGATTGTATTGTATTTTATCTAAATGTTGAACTGTTGCATTTTGCAATACGACGGTTAAATACAAGACAACGAGAAAAAAATCACTTACCTTGCAAGAACACCGAGTACAAACATCTTTCTGCCATGTATCGCCCTCCATACGAGCAGTGCCTTGATCAACTCCACAGCCTTTCGTTTCTTTCGCAGTTGGTTCTTTTTTGAGTACATCTACTTCTCTATCTATTTCCATCTACCAGAAAAGTCAAAACGTTGCAAGTCATATAAAATCCGTTTATCTTCATATGAAAGTCGACACTTACATGTAAGTCAAAAATTACTTTCCATGATAGTTATTTCACTGGTTTTGCCCATATTACCTCATGGAACATGCATCGTAAGCACTAGCAATTCATGACCAATCGCGACAAAGCTACTACCATTTTTCGACCAATCAGGTGTAAATAACAAGACCAGCCGCGAGTTGGGAAATGCACGTTTTCCCGCGCTTTCCACCGGAAGCATGTTTTATTCTGACTTGGTGGCTTGGCGTGTAACTATATTTACCACGGAAGGGATTGGCATTGATTTAGCTTTCTGCAACACTCAGACACTTGCCTGACTTTGAAGCCTGTTAAATGCATCTTCTAGCTTCCTCAAACTTCCAGCCATGCTTGCTACTGTCTGTTCAAGTTCCTCGACTCTTTCCGCCAAATCTAAATCCTTTTGTTCTAATGGATGATTGATTAACCCTTGTTTTTCCTCGCCAGCAGGGTCCTCTTCATCATACAAGTCCATATATTCCATTTCTTTGAATTCTAGTTCTCTTGTATCAGCATTGTATTCTTCAGCTGAACGTTTAAAGCGGCGGCTTTGAACATGTTCAGTAAACGTAGGAGTCTTGTCTGGCGAGGAACAGTGATCTAATAAAGAAGATAATAACAGCTGAAATGAGGACGTTGGTATGGTTGGCGAACACCCCTGGGTGGCTTAAAAAGTTGGTTCCTTACTGCGGTTCCCTTGCATGTAACACGAAACAACCAAAACAATTGCCCCTCTTGGGATGAGATGCCATCTCTTTGCAGGTTACACCCGGCAGCTTCAAAATGGCAGCCAAAGCTGCTAAACTCTACAGCAGTGGACACGTCTTTAAATCAGTTAAATCTCATGACCAGTTTTAACTCAATTAAACATACCGTCTTCGCAATATTTCCACATGCGCAGATCCATACGGGGTATTGAAGAACACGCAACGTATCCCGTGGGGTAGGTGGCGCGGAGAAACACGTCTCGCTGAACCCGGTCAATGCCGTCACCATTGTCGCACAGAACGCTAGCAAGTGAGGTCTGTTTGATTTGAATCAGCTGAGAGTGGTCGAAGGTGGACGGGCTTTCATACCAGAATCTGAAAGGAAAGGGAGAGTACGACAGTACGTTTTGGCAAAGACTACAGACTAGCTGAACAAGTGTTTTTCCCTGTACTGTTTTACTATTTTGAAATCGTTCTTTGGAGCGTCAGGCATAAGTGCTCAAACAAGAGTGACTTTTAGCCAATCACGCAAGCTTTTAAATTCCTAGGGATGATTATATTTACCTGTCTCCGGCTCGTGTTCTTCTAAACTGTTCAGCTATGATACAAGCGAAAGTAGGCCCCAGTAATGAGCCGGGCACCAGTTCCTCCAGAAGACCTCCTACCCACAAGTCAACATTGGAAGGGTGTTGGTAAAGTTCTCGCAGCTTGTCACGAATATCGCTATCCACTATCTCGTTTTTAAAGTCATCGAATGTTTCAGCCACAGAGAGATTGCAAAGGCCACGCCAACTGTTGTAGCCTGGAAAAATTGGGATGCATGAACATGAATGAGAAGTGTTTAAGCATATATAAGAAACATTTCGCTGAATCTTTGCGATGATGAAATTAAATTTCTAGTGTGATGGGTTAAGTTACACCTGCTGCGTTACACCCATGACATACCTTGCATAACATGAAAGAGGTCAAGGACATCGTGCCCGCTTTGATAAAAAATACATAGTTATATTGGATTAACACTGGATTACGTTGATGAATTATTGGAGTCAATGATAAAATTATTCTATTAGCAGACCACCTTGAATACAAAATTGTTTGGAATTTCATCTCCCGTGAGTAGGAATAATCGGGACAAGTGTAGCGTTGGTTTGTGTGTTGCATGGCCATGATCTCAATCATTAGGGCTTAGTAGCCGCGTCAGTAATATTGCATCGTCGGCGTGGCCCTTTGCATTTGTCCAACAGAAATTTAGCAATCATGTGAAATTAAAAATTTTGTAACTAACCTGGCAAAGCATGGTCCCTTCCTCTCTGAATATTGAGGGCACCAAGATCGAGGGCTATTTCGTGAGCCATTTCGAAGAGCCTCTCTGTGAGCTCCGAGTTAATAAGTTGGTGCTTGTCATCGCGACTCTTGGCGGCCCTACCGAAGAGCCCACGTAGAATTGGGTCCACGCCACCCTCGGTGACTAGCCGATAAGGCGAGAAGAACGCTTTGTGAAGAGGAATGTTACCTTGTTCGATGGGTTGAAACGAAGAGTTAAGACGGAAAATAATCGGATTGATGAGGCCGTGACCGAATCTGAAAGCTGCTGTGGCAAATGCGTTTACAATCCCTGCATCGATATTCGGTTCGTAGCCACTATAGGTCCCCACAAGGGCCATTCCTCGAGGGCCAAGAATCTTAGGGAGCCATTCAGTGTATGTGATATGTTGCATCTCGGCCCCTACTATTTTACGTGCCTCGTGGTACACTTTGTCTCCGTCCCAGTTAGGATTCAAATCTCCCAGCTCCTGAGCAATGCGGTTATGTTCACGCATCCATATGGTGTGCATCGACAGAAGGCCAAGCTGCTCGTTGGCGCGAAAATCTCCCGCAAGGAAACACGGGACAGGGCTGTTGTCTGGTTGGAGACATTCAATGGGCGTGTCCCTGTTGAAAGGAAGCAATGGCTTCCCATTGTCGATGTTGGGGTTTGATTTGAGCAATCCTTTGCTTTCCAAATCTCGCAGATTCATGATCTCCTCTTCCGATGAACCGTAGACGACTGACGCATCAATGTAGGAAGTGATTTGGTTCATCTGTTCTCGCGGAGTCACCGCGCTGAAAAACACCGAGGTCGTCCCGGTACCGCAGACCGCACTTGAGCGAGTAAATTGCATGCACCCGTGTCCCTTTATGCGGGGATCGTTAGCTGGGATTGGAATAGGGAAGCATGGCGGCTGATTATCACAAACGCTGTACTGCTTCGTGCAATCCAGACCGTCGCTAAATCTCAACGTACTCAGACTGCTGACAATGAAGTCGATGTCGTGATCTAAGAACTGTCCCCACTGCATCAACATGTGGGTATACTGTGCATCGTCGGTCACCTCATTGGATGATATCAGCTCTGTTGATACAAGGCGCGCGCTAGGCCTTCCCTCTGTGTCCTGCCAGCCCACGGGCGTGTTGTAACCGTTCTCGTAAACAGGGCTCAACAGGCGCTTGAATGGCGTCAGAGACGCGCCCCACATGGAATGCTGCAGGTTGTTGCAAGTGCCGTCGAAGGTGCGGTACTTGTGGTGGAAGCACATATCAGAGCAGTTGTTGATCCGGCGGTGGGCACTGCAACCTGACAAGTTGGCAATCACACCCACGTGTGCTGGAGACAGAAGGTGAAAGAAGTTGTATTTGTCGTTGCTTACATTCACCCTGTCCATTTCCTTCACGTGCTCATGAACCAGCTGGATCGTTCGCTCGAATATTTCCGCGGCTCGGGCGATTTGCTGGGCGGCGGGTGATGGAAAACGGAAGAGGGCGAGGAGATCGCTGGGTTTCCTTGGCTGCGAAGAGGCAAAGAGCTTCTTAATGCTGGCGTTAAGAGCCCTATCCACATTTTCTTTGGCTTGAACCACCGTTTTATTAATGATGTCAATACCAATCCTATTTTCGTCTGTAGGGACTACAAAGCGAAAATATCAATTAATTGATCGATTGTATAGCCTATGGTTTAACGTCATGGTGGGGGGAGTATCGGTGAGAACTAAAACTTGTTGTTTACAGTGATAAGATGAAAGGAAATACCACGAAAATTATAGCACTTAGCACGCGCTTGTAATGGACCAACAGGGCGGTCTCTTAGATGATATGTCTACAAGGGTTGGGGCAAATTTCAAAGGACAGCATTGCATCGAAATGAAAATTTGCTCAGTACTGAACTTCGTCTAGAATGTCGTATTTATTCGAGTAACAACTAACAAATGTTAAACGGAATAGCGTACACTATCGAGTTGTGAATGCACGCGGGAGGTTGCTAAGCATGAAAGAAGCGCAAGAGTCGCACGAGGTAATAGCCGAGTACGACTCTAGCTTCTTGAGTGCTTAGCAAACCTCCCAAGTGCTTTATATGTAGACATCAGCACATACGTCAGCAGCGTACACTCATGGGCAAATAGTAGACGTTGAATTAACCAATCAGAGAGTGCGCTTTGGTTTAGTTATGTTATAACACCTTTTAGCTGTCAATCCAATTTTGAAGCAGTTGAATGTGTTTTTCAAAACCCGCGTTAGTTAATTTATGTCATACAAAAAGACAACTGGAAAATTCTTAATGGCAAAGGATAAATGCATTATCACTGTAAATCTTACTTTGCACTGTGAGTGTCATCTGCGCAGAGGCTGCGCCAATGCTATTGCGAGCTGCACATTCGTACCTCCCCTCGTCAGCCTTGCCAACATCCCGGATGCTCAGGGTTCCGGATGGGCCAAACGAGTACCTGTTTGCCTCAGTAATGTGTACGTTGTTTTTGATCCATGTTATGATTGGCTTGGGAGCACCGTAAGCGGAGCAACGAATTTGAACTGTTTGACCAGCCGACACAATAATGTCTGTGGGCGACTCCACGATGGACGGTGGAACTGTTGAAAAGGAACATTGGAATTCTCCTTATTAATACTGTAAGAAATATATGGAAAGCACTAACGAGAATATCTACATTGATGTCACGATTAAGCCTACTTTATTGGTAACTGGTTTTTGAGCTCACCTCGCGGTTTCACTGTCAGAAACGCTCGAGCCAGTCTCACTCCGATAACGTTGATCGCTTGGCACTCGTACTGCCCCTGATCACTCGGCGAGGCAAACAGTATTCTTAAAGTTCCGGAAGGTAACACAACGTGACGATCTCGAGATGGCAGTCGGTCGCCATCTTTGGTCCAAGCGATAGCTGGTACTGGGTGACCACTCACTCGGCAATGGAGTTCAGTTGTACTACCTTCAAGTACCTCGGTACTTTCGGGTTTTGTGGTAAACTTTGGTGGGGCTGAAGGAAAATTTAGAAGAGATTAATACCTCCTAAGTTTCTCTTGGGGCGTATTATTCGGGATCACGGCGGCATTACGGTTACATGTTCAAACGCGCAAAAATATGCTGTCTCCAATTAATTAACACAACACTTAATCTAGACATATGAATTTGGTGGCAGACGAGGGGAATTCGTAAAAATCGAATCATGAATGTTTGTGGATTGGCACCTGAATTAACGTCAAATATCAGATCTGTGCTCTGAGTTGTAAGAGCGCCTTACTGTATGGCTAACTCCGTGAGCGGGCAAGATGAATAAAATCCTGCGCTGTGATTGGCTACCCGAGCGGACAAGATGGAGCTATCTTGCCCGCTCGGGACTACCCGCCGTATCCCGCAAAAAAATTTCCCCGACAGCCATATAATAAATCCGTTATTGACCAAGCTTGGTCGGTCAAGACGGCTGGATATTAGCCTCGTTCTTTTTTTGCGAGTTTAAGGACCTCGACTCCGTCTCGGTCTATAAACACGCAAAACAAGAACTTGGCCAATATCCAGCCATCTTGACCTCACATTTGGTCAATAACCCATTTTTACAGAGCCTCGAAAATGCAGTAAGTTTCGATAGCAAATTAAGGAGACAATAACAACTCGACCAACACAGTAACTTAGCATACTATATTGCATATTGTATTGCTAAACCCTAAACAGCCTCATCAACCCGAGAATAGATGAAGTCTTGAATGAAGGAAGGATGGAAAGAGCGAGGCTCGTTCGTTCCCTTTCTTCTTCGTTTGAAAATGCTCTGTTCGCTAGGGATATTTCATACCTGTTACAATCAACCTCGTTGAAGCCGCCACGCCCCCAGCCCTGTTGGTAGCACGACATCTGTACGTTCCATGATCCACAATGCGCACCTCCCGGATGTACAAGTCCCCGGATGGCATGACCTCATAATGAGGATCCAAGTTCAACGGCAGACCTTCTTTACTCCATTCGATAATAGGTCTCGGATTACCGCGGGCGCGGCAAGTTAGGGTAACGGGATTTCTTTCTATCGATTCCACTTTAGAATGAGGATACTGGATCAGGAATGGTGGAGCTAAGAGTTGAACAGAGCATGTTAAAAGCAGTTATAAAACTGGAATTTTTTCCCTGCAATATGAAGAAGTGGAATTCTATAATTCCGGAGTTCTAAAGAGGCCTTAAGGGAAAACAAAGTGTACGATGGAAGGATGTAGAAACAAACTACTTTCCTGGCCAAGCAAAGTAGGGAGGGTTAAGGTTACTCAGTGCCATCAAGAAAGGTGTATCACATACTGCGCATAAAATCATAACTTAACCAAAGAGAAAATCTGACTTATGCGAGAAAGCAAAGATGGTCTATTTTTTGATGGGGTCGGTTACAGTCGTTCTCTGTGTTTTTTCTTTCGCTACTGGAAAACTAAATTGCCTATTACCTTCAACTCCAAAATAATTTAACGCCGCCTTGCTGACAATCTCGCCAGCAGAGTTCTGCGCTACGCACTCATAACTTCCCTCATCAGAGAACCTAGGATCAATGATGTTCAACGCGCCATTTTCAGTCATAACGTGACGTGTGTCTGACTTAAGAGGTTTTCCGTCTTTCCGCCATGTTATAGTCGGTGTTGGGTAGCCTGTGGCTAGGCATCTGAACAACACCTGTCGATCCCTGACAGACACCTCGATGTTGGTCGGTGTTTTCACAAATGTTGGTGGTACTGGAAAGAAAACCAGATAAACAGAATGTGATAAATAGTACACAAATTCGGCAAAAGCAACTCGTTTTAAACAAATTTTTAACCAGAGATCGTTTTCCTATTTTCCTAAAACATAACAAGTACAGCTTTTAATAGGCAGATCAATGGTTAGAGCATTAGAGCTCTTTACAAGGTCACAAGTTTATTAGTTTAGTGCCACCCACTTTCAGTAAAGTTTGATTGGATTGATTGGTTATACATTTTGATACATTTGTTAGCTCTCCTATTCAAAATAAACACCGCAAAATCACGAAGTCACCAATTCATGGCAGTCACTTTTTTCAGCTGGAGGAATGCTCTTTCACCGACGTTTCTTTTGAATAAATTTAAAACGTAATGTTGCAAAAAGCATAAGTTTGTTCCACGTTCTTCGGTGCGCAAATATTTTGAGCCAGTACATATACGACTTTGGCGCACAATATTTTTTTGTTGTTGAAGGCATGTTGCTCACAGCTTTGCAATTGTAACAGCGACTTCGGACCACTGATCTTTGATAACGTTTTTATAAGCATTTTGACATTTTTATGTCAGCTTTTTTTGCTTGGCCAATCGAAAAATAAGATATTCTAAGAGGCAGAAGAGTGACCACTTGACGATAAATTGCACGTGCGTCGTTGATTGGCTGAAAACTTTGGGAAAGCAACGAAAAGACGTCACAAATACAACTTATCAAAAACTGCACTTCATGCAGCGTATGGCAAAACGATTCATTTTCACCAAAATATGTTGAAAAATAATCATCTCCCGTTGGAAGCGGCGGAAAGTTAAATATTCTAGAGAGTTAAAAGGACTCACCGCAGTTGAAATCTTCTGGCGTGAGTCTCACCAATGGTTTTCCTTGCATATTCGCGGGCTCAGCGCATGTAGCTGCAGTCTCCGTGTTTGGTGTCTTCTTGAGCAACCTGGCCAGCCACAGAATGTCACATGTGCAGTTCAGAGGGTTGGAGTCGAGCCGGCTGCAATCGATAAGGAGAGTATCTTAAATAGTTATTTCATTCATAAATTTTATCAGAAGGTTGGCTACCTTCTGCATAGTCGGCGGCTAGCCGCGTTCTACTCACTGCACGGTTTCTTTCGTCTCAGTGAGCTTGTGCATTACAGCTTCCGTCCTTTTCCCGCCGAAACAGAATCCACCACTCAGAGCGATCAATCACTGCACAACTGAGGCGAAAGGCGGGGGAACATTTTGGTACGTGAAGTCAACAGTAAATTTCGGGGCTTGTATCAGATTGGCTGAGAAAACAAAATCTTTGCAATCATTGGTTGGACGACAGAATTTCATTAACCAATGCAACCATCATGCAAAACCGAAACTCTCGATCAGGAGTGACTTTAGATAACTATAAGCTGTATTCTTGGTTTTCATGTGACGTAGTCATATTCCAAAATTAGAAATTATCCTTCCTTCTGAGGTTTTAGTTTCATCAGATAAAAGGCCCTGTAGGAACGTGACGTTTGGCAANTCTGTACCATCTTTTTTTTTTTCAGTGACACGAGTAATCTTTAATGCTTTGCAATTTCTGCTGAGAATTTCCTCGAAGTTTTTTTCCCTTCACATTTGGATTTAATTGTAATTTGAAACTGGATTCTTTAAATTTAATTGTACAGTTTCTCTTCCTTTACTGAATATTAACCCAGGTAAGTGTGAAACCGAGCCGAGTCAAAAAATTATACTGTAGATAGAGAATTACAGTGAAACCTGCATTAAATCCACAGAGGGAAGCGACGAAAACATTTCACGCTAAGAAAGGTTTAAGAAAGGAAAGAAAAAGGTTATCGGCAAAAGGCAAAAACGATATTATTAACTCAAAGGTGTTCGCACGGAGAAATGCAGGAATTCGTAGGTGGAATCGGTCATCACGAAAGTAAAAGGCTGTACGAAAAGTGTGCCAAGTAGTCCAAACTTCGTGTGCTTGGCGAAGTGATTCAACGCAGTGTTTAACGACAACTTTCCAAAGTTTTGCGAATGGAATAAAGGTTAGTTACAGAAACGCTGCTTCCGAAATTTATTCAGAATTTATTTACCTATGTTGGAGGCTATGAAGTCCGTGTTTCTCTGTATTTTGCTAAATGAAAACTATTGCTTGAAGCAAGAGATTATCAAGGTAAGAGAGTGAATCCCCCATATAGGTCCTCTAACTAAGGTAATCCCTCTTGACTTATTTTTAGACATTGCACCCAGTTCTTCCGCGGATATTACTCGCGCGTTGCGTGGATCTTTTCGTGGAGGATCTGCCTATGTTTCGTTTCGTTTCAAAGCAAAGGAAAACCTCCAACGCTGTGGGGGTGTTTTCTTTGATGTTTTGATTTCAAGCAAAGGAGCTTCCGCTCTCGGTATGTTTTAATACATTTCGAAAATAAGACGGATGTCCCCGGTACAGACAGTAACAACTGTTTGTGCAGTTTGTTTGTGCAACTGTTTGTGCAACAACCCAAATTGATCAGTCAAGCCCAGCTGACTTCGTCCTCAGCTGACCGTATAAAGCACCGAAAAAAGGGTTTAAAACTTCCTTAATTTTAATCTCAAGCGACGTTAAATTTTTGCCGTGGAAAAAAAAGATAAGCTTAAAAGCTTTATATGACGACCAACTTCTGGTCCTTTTTTTCCTTGCAAATTGCCATGTATATGTTAAATGGAAAGATATTCGTGTTATTGATATCTCAACCAGTGAAAAGCAAAACTGTTTGTTACGTTTGCTATCGCTAGAGTTCCGAGTTCTCTAGTTCCCGCGTAGAGCTGCCATGGATCGGAAACCGTGGTTTACTGGTACAACAGAACATAGGATTAACAGCCCTGACCAATCAGAGCGTGCGTAGTACCTCAGTTATTTTATAAAATATTATATGGCTTTGGCTTGTGGCCGATATAACGCGCGCTCTGATTGGTTAANAAAAAAGATCTCACCTGAGTACAATTACAACTCTTCCTCCAGAAGCTCTTGCGACACTTCACTGCCAGAAGTAGCAAAAAGAATCTATTTTCATTGCTGTAAATACATTTTCACATTTAATAAGAGCCAATTGGAGGCTGCCTATGAAGCGGATGTATACTTAAAGGAACTTGAAAGTGGATATCCAGCTGATTTGTTACGTGCCAGCGTTTTGGAACGTGCTTTTTTCTTCCTTGTCAGTTTAACGGGAAGTCATCCATAGACTGTTGACTAAGTTCACTACTCGGCGTTCTTCCGTGCAGATCCGTCTATCCAGCGAATTAGTAAATCCAAACCTTCGGAGTTGCATGGAAGCTTTGAAAAGTCTGAAAAAAGCTTTAAGTCGGGAGACCGACTATGAATTTACCCTCGTATGGCCCCTCGTATTTCTTCCTCCTCAAAGCTCAGTCACGTGCAATGAAAATACCGCAGACACGTAATAAAGGCTCAACCTTCTTTCTACGATGCCGATATGTTAACAAATGGTGCGATCTTTTCTACGTTCAAAATACGGACCCGCTCACCATTCGCGGTAGATCCACTCTGAAAGATGGCGTGGTCAATGAGTGTATATTTCGAAACAGGTCGTTCCGCGAATTCAAAATAGCAAAAGAATCGAATGATTCAGCGAAGGTCTTAACAAATGGCCTAATTACTAATATATCTCCCCTTTAAACTTGTAAATATATTTAATCCTTCATTTTATTTTATTTTATTTTATTTTGATCATCTGTGTAATTGATTTCGAGCAAATAAGGTAAATTAAATAAGTCTTAACTGGATCTAGAATCAAACCAGAAATCAAACGGGTCATCGATCAATGAACAGAAAATGTGGACGGAGTGTTACTACAGGCGACATTTAAGAACATTTACGAAAGTTTTAGGTGCCGATAACGACAAGGTGCATCGTATTCAAACCCTTGGAAACACGGGAGGAAACAACAACAAAGATGGCATGTTTGACTACAAAAGTGGCTTTCATCAGAGTGAAGAGAAACGTAATTGTCTTATTTATGTTACCTCGATAATGATTATTACCTTTATTATGTTTTAGCACAAACAGAGTACATTATCAGCTGTTATTTTTCTATTTGTCCCATTAGTTTTGTCGCTTTTGTGTTTATTATATTCGCATATTGTGCAGGAATGTTTCTCGGTGGTGGTATCAAATAACGCGTACGTGGTGTCAGATGAGTGTAATGTATTCTTGGTTTTCATGTGACGCAGTCATAATTTTTTTAAAAAATTACCTTTTTTTCGGAGGTTTTAGTTTTATCAGATATAAGAACCTCTAGGAACTTGACGTTTTACAACGTGTTAGCTCGACAGGGTTCTTCGTTTTGTAATTTTCCAAGCTTTTGCGTTGCGTGACATTAAATGGAAGGCTGTCGCGTACGTCAAAAGATGAGTTATCGCTCGAGGTTTTGCTAACTGAACAATTCTTGCACTAGAAGAAATATTAATTTCAACGTGTCGGAAGTCTAGAGTAATAACTTTTCGTTTCAATGGTAATATTCAATGACAGATGTTTCTGTTATTTTACGGTCGCTCTTACAATGTACAGGGCAGGTGTATTTAATGCAAACAGAATTACCGTCAATGATTGGAGATTGCTATGTCTGAGGAAAATAATTTACCAGCTCAGGGACCAGCTTAATTATAGTGAAAGCCACGCTGGTAATCTACATCACAGTGACTCGATAAAAGAGGGATATCAGTACAGTATGTCTAAAGATGGCTTTTGAGTCACTCTTGTTACAAAATTATTCGTCATTTATTCTGACAATTGAATGTATCGTTGTCAGTATCTAACATCGTTGTCAGTATCTAACATACTGATAATTGGAGTTATAAAATACTTGATTCTCATGCAAGAGACGAATATGGTAGAAGCCATCCCGCAGGTTCATGTGTACTGTTAAAAGTACCACCCACTGAGAACTTAGTACAGTATATCCAGACTATGCACTCACTCGGTGGCAAAAGTGCAGATTAGTACATATGAAATAACTGCAGTGAACAATGTGAGAGACGACAACTGCTTTATTAAACAATGCTGTGCCGTAGGGCCACAGACTTTATGTAATGAGTTACTCAGTAGCAAAGCCTCATGTTAAATACCAAACGTGACAGTGACCCCAATCTCCTCTAACACACAAGTGAGTCACAACTCAAATCAACTTCAGTACGATTACCGTAGCTTTCACTTTCATCTATCGGTCAGTTGAAATAAGCAATGTTGAGTTAATTATATATTTTTAGTATAATTTTCAGAGGTGAATATAAGAATTGGACATTCTGATTGGTCGAAAAGCTCATTATATGACGCTATATTCACCCCGCTAGGTTACTAAGCTCGCCATCTTTGCCATCTCGGTAAGTAAACATGGTGGACAGTTGCTGAATGAAGTTTTCAGTTATTCGAAAATGACTGCGCTCGGCCTTGGACCAAAAATCTTTTCAAGAACTCGTACTCAAGGCTTTTAAGAATCGTAAACGCAGTGGTTGCGTCGATCGCCAGCAGGTCAGATCGATTGACCGCAATTTATTTTTCTTCAAACTAAAGCTACTCATTTTTAGGCGATGATGACAACTGTGAATGAAGTCAACGACGATAAAACAAGGTATCGGATGAATTTATTTTTCGTATTGTTTCGCTCGTTTGTTTTACTGCCGAACTCGATGAGTAAATTGATTGACAATCGATGTAAATGTAAGCTTATTATTAAAACTACGGCTGCATACGTGTATGCACACGAACAATTGCGTCTGTGTTTTTATGTTCGCTTTGGCTAAATGACCGGCAGCCGATCAAGGTTTTCAAATCACCAAGTGACCGGCAGTCTGACATTTTTCTCAAATTTTAAGGAATCGAAGGGACCCATCCAATTCAAACTATCACATGTCGATTAAGAACTGCCAAGCGATCCAGAAGAGCTGTATAGTTCGCAAGTCTAACGCTTGGTTTACGTTCGGCTCAGATAGCGAGACCATGGTTTGCGACACAATTTCTTTAGGTTGACTGCCGGTCACGGTTTTCAAATCACTAAATGACCGGCAGTCTGACATTTTTCTCAAATTTAAGGAATCGAAGGAACCCATCCAATTCAAACTATCATATGTCGATTAAGAACTTCCGGTCATTTAGTGATTTGAAAACCTTGACCGGCTGCCGGTCATTTAGCCACAGCGTTCTATGTTTTATAACGTTATTTTGTAGTCCTTGATATTCATCTCTGAAAATTATACTAAAACAATTATTCGCCTCAGGCTCAGCGAACACTGGTGAATATTCACCAATGTTCACTTCGCCTTTGGCGAATAATTGTTAAATATTAGTACGATTACAGCTTCATATCTCTTTGAGACATGCATCTGTTAGCGTGTACATATCACGCGTGCTATTATTAGAACCGCTGCGCGCCGCAAATGATCAACACCCGTAGCAATACGTCTGGCTTCAGCCCGACTTACGATCTTCCTCTCCGTTCCTCCTGAGATTACGCGATCTTCGTTGATAATTCTGTTTGATACAACACAAACACGATAAGCAATACAGGAAGAAAACTACTGTAAACATATCATTATCAGCTGATGCCAGTTTCCGCGTGTGAATGAATGGAGATCGCAGTATTCGGATGTTACCACAAACGAAAAAGCGTGATAGGAACTTGTAAATAACGCTCCTAATTACTTACCGCCAAAAAAATCATGTGAAAAGTTTCGCGATCATCATCCTGTTGTTTGTCTAGACAAACGTTAAGTTATCGATTTTTATCGATACGGTTGAACAAAGTCGGAAAATTTTAGAGACGTTTGTATGCTGGAAGGCATGTTTGTGCCCCCAGCATACAAACGTCTGTAAAATTTATCGACTTTGCAAAGCTATGACCTTGTGTAAAAGATACGACTCCCAAAACTTGCCCGTTAAACTAATTTTACAGTACTCTTTCCAGCAGGGTCGACAGATGTTACATGACCAATATCAATAGTTGAATTAAACGCGGAAAGGTCTTTCACTAAGGGGCAGGAGCCCATTACGGAAAGTAGTAACGAACGTCATCGGAAACAGTTCTTTACGCGGGAAAGGCCTATATTAAAACAAACCTACTTGTAAAAACGCCTTTGCAGTTGCACGCCTCGAGTAATGGGCTCCTGTATGGCGCTGGCATCTGATGGCAGAACTGGCGCTCAGAAGTCGCCGCGATAACAAAGATCTATCGATATAAATGAATTACGATGGTCAGTGACCGTACGTAAAGCTGCTGGGGGTTGGCAGCGTGGCCGAAAGGTTACAGACCCCGATTTCAAGTCCCGCTCTAGCCATTAGCTGGAGTTGTTTCTCGGTAGTCCCGAGTTGTACTCCTCGGCCACGTTTGTAAAAAGCCAAATGATTCACCCCCCCCCTCCCCCCTGCCAGTTGAGTATCCTTTATAAGCGTCTTTCGTACCAAGGAATAAAATTGCTTTAATTGTTTTTGTTCCTTATTTTTATTCCTCATATATTCATTTGTATGGATAAATCTTGCCAGATTCACAATTACTTTGAAACAAACCACCTTCCCCTCTGCACCCACCCCCAGCTACGGTATAGGTGCATAAGAGAGCTTATCAGTAAGCCGTTCTGGGTATTTCAAGCGTTGAGATTATAACAGCTTATAACAGCTCAACGCGACTTACTTTAATCCAACAAACAAAACACAATTTACAGCCCAAACAAACCCGGTTATTGCGTTTACAATAAATGTCAAACTCGCGACCGACGGGTCACAGAGCCGCACATATAAACACGTCTGGTATTTAAAGTCTTTTAAATCCAAGAGTAACTGTATCCTTCCGATGAACTTGGCACGTGTGGATTTTATTGTCATTGGTTGGAATATTATCTTCAGATGAGGATAATGAAATTTCTGTAAGGCATTTTAATCATCCAGTGCGGTTGGTTTTCGCGGTGTAACCCCTGACGTAATTAGGAAATTGCCCCCATGGTGTTCATTGGTAGAATAGAACGCGTTAGACTTGTGCTTTTTCTGGGGGTCAGTGGGAAGAATTTCCCACGGGTAAATTTTGTACAGGAATATAAACAGTTCTCACCCAAGCAAGTAATCTCTTCGTCTGGGAGACACCCAGTTTGGAAAATCCGGTGTTGAAAGAAAAGATTGCCGACAAATAAGCTCACTCGAACCTCTGTCAATCTTGACGTTTGGCAAGTTAACTTGGCGACTTAAAACAATACACGAAGAGAAAGACGATGTGGCGACTCGTTTTATTTGCTGGATTTCTGACTTTTCCTCTATCTGCACTGAGCAACTCTGCTGCTGAAAAATCGTTCCGCGATCGTCAACAAGGTAGAGTTCAGTGTATTATTATATTTTGCCTTTATCGTCACGGATTTGTTTACTTCCACTGTATTTCGTGACTTGGGATATGCAGACTGATGTAATCATTCTGGGAATCATTTCTTTCCACAGAAGACCTCGCGAAAAATATTCAAGAATATGAAGTCATTGTGCCCCAGGTTGTGACAAACACTGGATCGTTTTTGAGCAACGAATTAAAGGATGCTATTGGCAACGAAAGATTGTATGTGCGATTTCGTGCTTTCGGAGAGGAATTCCTGCTAGATTTAAGGAAAAACCGCAAACTTATGGATCCCAGGTTCACGAGTGAAATCTTAGATAACTTGCATCAGCCACCGAGAGTGAATTTATCCAGAGACTGTTACTACACTGGAAGTTTGCGTTTTCGTTCGCAATCCGGTGTTGCACTAAGCGGATGTCACGGGCTGGTAAGGGATAACGTCTCTTTGTTTATTCCGCGAGGACGGTTTTGTTGACAAACTGTTCTTGATTCATGCTCTAACCGATCCCGGCAAAATATTCATAGCTTCTATCATCACAAGTGCAAGTGTTGAAAGATGAAGCGTGTTTTTTACTCTCGCGTGACGAAGTCTAGACTGTTCAAATTTTGCCCTGGAAGGTTATCTTTGCAAATCTTTTAGTGTTTTTTTCTTCTTTTTTTTATCACAGATGGGGCTGATACAAACTTCAGAGGAAGACTATTTCATAGAGCCCATGGCCAAGAGAAAGAAACAACCTCATTTGTTTTACAAGAGGTCTTCTGTGTTAGCATCGTTGCCGCAAAGTTCGACCTTTCCGCGGAAATGTACTCCTTCACCCACTCATCCCCAAGGTAAGATGAAAGCGTTGCTATTCTTTAATTTGTTGTTGGAGTCACAGGTCAAAGATCATTGCCTGCGTTTTTCCGACAGGCGATGAAATAACTCAGGCTAATCCTGCCATCTGCTGCTGAAAGAGCCTACAGCAGCAGAATTACCCTGCTGACTACCAGACGTTTTGCGCCCCCCCCCCCCCCCCTCGGGACTCCCATGTAAAAAAGGGCAGGGGTACTCGTCGTACCTCTTAGGGTGTTCAGCTTCAGAAGGTCCAGAGCGGGAGCTTTTTGGTGCCTTTTAGGGTATTGAGGCGAAAAAATATCACAGGAGATTAACTGCTGTTTTAGAATTGGTACCTCTAAGAGGTGAAAAAATTTGCCCACAAAGCAGGATCTTGGGCTCTTCACAAAATTTCCGACAAGCACCCCCGTCCTTTTTATATGGTAGTACCCCCCGGGCGTTTTGCCCTCGTGCCGGACCTTGTAGTATGCTGTTCTTGTACAATAGATCTGCGATTATGTGTCAAAAAAAGACCCGCAAACGGTGTTTTTTTTTTTGCTAGCCCGGCTATAAATTCCGGTATTATTCTCAGTTATTGGCTTCGGCCAATATATCAGTCGAAATAATCCGAAAGCAAGGAGCGTGTCTCTCGGTCGCTTACGCGCGCAAAGCTCTTGCGTACCAGATTACATGTAACCGTTATATTCCGCCTCACCATTCGAAATGGTAGTTCTCTTCACTGACGGCTGTACTTTTCCTCTTGTGTTATTTTCTGACATGAAGTAGCAAGTGAAGATGTCTAGAAATTGCCTTCTTTCACGCGGGAAACGAAGATAACATTAGGACCTATCAGACGTCTGCATGCTGGTTAGCTCGGAGCCGATGATTTTCTCTATTCTTATCACCTCTCTGCGGTAATAATGTGTTGATATTCTGGGGAGAAATAAGAAGTTGATCACTCTCAGAAATTTTCGACTACGTTTTAGAACTGTGCCTTCTCACTGACTTCGTCCGTATACGTAACTTTTTTGTACAGTCACATTAAGAATCGAATCGCATAATAAAGAAAAACAACAGATGCGCCATAAAAATTCAGTAACACAACTCGATTTCTTTCGGTATAAATGACCTTAGCTGGACGAAAGCAAGGTTGCAGCACGTGACGTGTTTTAGTTCCACTAAACGACTGACTGTAACTATATCTATCCCATGCTTTGTAAAAAACAGCCAGTCAGGAGGCTAGAAATCCGTTACATACTACGAGGGCCAGTACCCGACGTTCATCACGGTATCACTGAAATTCCCTTCGCAAAAGATGTTCTCGTTTAGCTCACTTAAGATTTTACGAGACGATATTGAAATATGAATAACGAACAAATTATTTCTTGAATTCTACTTTCTATAGTTTATAAGGACTATGGAAAAACCTGACTGTAAGGGGAGAAAACTTCATGCTACTTCAGTCGGTATTTAAAAATCAAGATCTCACGATAAGCCACTCGTTGCATAACTAGTAAATACGCCGTTTAAGTACCGTGGTCTGGATCCATGTCAGGACGAGTCTATCACACATTCACTGGTCAGTTTAGGACTTTGTTCTCAAATCAAGCTCTTGTTGGCTGCTTCCGTTAGTGAAGCGGTGTTACATTTTTGAGGAAAAGGGGAAGAGTGATTTTTAAGAACGTGCCCGTTTCACACAAATCCTAGGTGTTTGGCGTTTAATTAGGATATAGGGGTGATGTGATGTGATGTGATGTGATGTGATGTGATGTGATGTGATGTGATGTGATCTCAGCGATCAGTTAAAACTTCCTCCCATTACGCAGCTCTCATTTAACTTTGCTGATCTCGTATTCGACAAAAGCTTCATTTTGTCAGCTGGCAGTTAAAATTTTGAGCAATTCTCAGCAATCAGTTTAAACCCCACCCGTACTCTCCATTTGTAGATTGTAAATGGGCGGTTTTACAAGTAAGGCTCTCTTAATCGGATAACTTTCGCGCAAAAGCTTTCAGTGAAAAATAACAGATAATGGGTTTTAACAGCTTATCGCCGTTGCTTTTTGTCATTTATCTACGCTAAAGATCTTGTAAGTACATATTTCACAAATAACATAGATAGCTTTTGCCATTGCCAGTTATCTGAGTATTACCGGAATTAATTGTTTTCAAATCCTGTAGATTGAAATGTAGATTGGCAAATTCTTCAGGATATGGCCTTAGATTGTCAGTAAAAGTACGTTGATGGTCTCATAATCTATAAAGATCTTCACGGTTATTTACAGATATTTAGTAATTGGTGCTCTAACGGTTCTTGCAGTCATGTCATCATATGTTCATTTAGGAGAGTTATAAACCGCTTTAAGATTTTTTAGGCGACATTTGTCGCATAGTTAAGATACAAGAAGTCTGAGAAGTTGACCTACAGTGTTGTACTGGGCATATAACGTTTCAATAATGCTAGTGACACTATCTGCGGGTTACATTATCTTTTTTTTTTAATTCTTAATTAATTTTTCCTTTTATACGCAGATTAAAAAGTAAATACTGACACTTACGTAACACTTTTGCAGCCATCTCGAAGCAACTCTTCCAACGCTGATTAAAGTTCGTAATTAAAATTATTAAAGTGACTTCAATTGAAAACGAAAGCCGTAATTAAAAGGGATTTAAGTTGCTACCAAAATGATTTCAACTGATCCGTTCTTTATCGCTTACCTCTAATTTGGTTTTCTCATTACGTAACATTAGCAGCCATCTCGAAGCAATTCCTTCTTACTTAAGAGGGCCAATTGCAACATGTATCTACAAAACAGATTTAGAGCTACAACTGTTTCAGATACCGCTAAGCTGTTTTAATCTCCAGTGTCGACTTCTTTCTTTCAACTGACCTCTTGAAGGAGGAAGGATTAAAATATCTTGGTTGGAAAAAACAAAAAAACAAAAAAAAAAACACACACAAAAAAACAAAAATCACGAGACTTTTTGGTGACAGAAACGGCTTCATATTTTATCCGGCCGTTAAGAAACACACGGCCCGATAAATTGACAAATCACAACGTGTGTATCAACTGAGATATAAAATAAAATGATACATAATCACGGAAAAAGGAAATGTAGGGGAAGGATAAAAGTTCTGAGTTAGAGACTAAAAACGTTTAATTAATGAGCCAACGCAGTTATTTTCTTGTTGAGGGCTCTGACTATAAGATGCTCCTTTCTGACCCAGAAGAAGAATCTGCAAGTTTAGAAAGGGCTTAATTTTCAAAGCGCTTTCTTTTGATGACCTTTTCCTTTAATTGAGAAAGACATTAGTCGATAATACTCTTGGGGTTACAAGGTTATAATTATATTTTCAGAGCGCGTTTTAGTACCTTTGGAAGAGAGCCAAAGGATTTTGTGTACGCTCATGCTTTGCTGTATATCATACTATAATCTAGCTTTACAGCTTTGGAACTGGTTATTCGTAAAATTTAACCCTTTCAAATATAGGTAAAAATTGTGTCGGTCGCCCAAACTTGCAACCCTTAAGCTACAGTGTCTCAGGATTTCTTTCTATGATGTCAAAACTAAGCGATTCATTCAGAAGTTTACAGCTCGGTTATTGTAAACTTTCTTGTCGTTATTATTATTTCTACATCCACGATAATATTCCTTTAATTGCAATTCTTCAAATCTTGTTTTCAGCTCATGGGATTTCGAAAAACTCAAAGTTGCAATTTTGGCAGGAACTTATCCACCGCCAGCGTCGTTCATTGGACACTGAGGTCACCATTCAGCTTTTGGTTGTTGTTGATAGAGACATGATCAATTACCATGGCAACCAGTCTGTTGAGGAATATGTATTGACCGTTATGAATATGGTAAGTAAACCAACAATAGCTGACCTAAGGGCTAAACGATCGGACCACCTCGAACAACTGTCTGGAAGATTGAGATTCTTAAGGAGCCACCTGACAATATACAAATTTATTTTTGCGACGTGTAAAATTATCGAGGAATCGGAGGAAACCTCGAAATGTAAACTTGCTAAGTAAATTTAGACGAATTGCAAGAGAAAAGTGCTTTTTTGTGGGTAGATCGTGAAGCGATTTTGAATGCGTCAAATAAAAAGGCCAAATCTATCAAACGAGATGAGACGCCGAACAGGTGAAAATCCAGAAACTGTAAATATTTCTACCAACGTGTACCACGTGACTCTGTTCTAAATAGTTGCAATGCAATGTTTGCACTACACAGGGATTTCTAGACTTAAGCAAAAGTATCTTTTACTTCCTCCGATTATAATTTCAAATCCCTATGCCTCTTGAAAATCTTTCATCGTAACGATGTGGTCCGAGTTACGAGTTATTGAAGACTATAGACATGCGCATAACGAGACTTGTTTTTCCCATTTTTAAAGGTCGCCGAGTTATATCGTGATCCAAGCATTGGAACAAAGATAAACATTGAAGTCTCCAGGCTGATGTTACTGTACAACATGCCTGTAAGTAAGAAAAGCCCATTTGTCGAACTTTGTCCGAATGCGATTTCCGGTGATTTAATTACGTTTCCGAGAGCTCCAAATGAAATCCATCATTACAAGTAAGTCATAATGCCCCATGAAATTCCTCATTTTACTTCTGTCATAAAGGGTATGAGAGTTGATCCCCTATATAGGCCTTTATCGTAACGTAAACCCTCACAAGTTATTTCTAGATCACTCCCGGTCTCAAAGACCCCAGTATGGTCTACAAATAGCCATTCTTGTAACGTGGATTTTGTACACGTAGTCAGCCCAAGCCGCTTTACACGCATTTTCAACCTCCACGAAAACATCCACGCAACGCGCGTGGTAACAACATCCGCGGAAGAGCTGGGTACCATGTCTAAAAGACGAAATACCAAGTGAATATGGCCTACATGGGGCATTTACTCTCTTATACTTCATCCTCTCTTGCTTGTGTTNGCTTTTGCAATGAATCCTAAGGTGGCACACTTTATTGAGATGACAGCATTTGGTAAAGCGTCCACGAGGCAAAAACAAAAAAAAGAAAGAAACGAGTCAAAAAAAGCAACAAGTAAACAAACAAACAACCACTGCAGCAAAGCAAACAGTTTCAAGCCATCGAAACACCATTGCGTCCATCATACGGATTGCTGCATTGGATCATTCTTGTTACCGCATGTATGTCCATTATCTAACCTGCAGAGGTTTTTTCCCGTAGCTCTAAAGCAAGCAAGTGTTTGAGGACTCAAGCCGATGGCAAACCGTTGGAGTTGCCTACTGAGATGCCGGGAGTCACGTTCACTGTGGACGACCAGTGTAGGCAGCAGTATGGAAACAGAGCCAGACACTGTCACAAATACAAGGTATTTCCTTCCCCTCCCCCCTGATAAGACTTGCTCTTATTCATTAGTTTAGTGCCGATGTCGGTTTGTACGATAGGTGAGAAAGTGGTCAGAACTAGAACGAAGGAGTAATGTCAGGAAGCGCGGTATATTCAAGCTCTCCCCTCATTGGAAGCGTTGCGCAACCGCGCGTACAGGCATCAGCTTCAACCGCGCGAGTTTGCCTCTCTCCCAAATGCAAGTCGAGTTACTTTAAGCTTCAAGTTATCAAGGTAATGAGAGCAACTCTGTTGGTATAATATTATTATTGACTACACATGAAAGCACACACGTCCTCAGACATTGATTCTTGAGATTTTTCTGAAGAAGCAATGGTACCGTCCTTCCACTAGTAGGTGTGGACTCCTGTACCAGCATTTGTTGACTTATCTCATGTTACCAAAACGTCTGCCTTGTTCCTTCATCATCGCGGTAACCGTACGCAGCACCAGAGTATTGGTTTTGGAAGCGTTCAATATATTTATCTTATTAACCAAGCGCGAGGGCCGCAATGGGGGAATGTCGGCCCGAGGTCTTGGCAGCACGCTCCGCGAGGACCGTACAAAAAAAGACCGAAGGCCGATACTCTACCAGTAAGGTCTCGAACTGGCTTGGTTAATAAGAGGTTTATTACACGACTGAAAATGTTAGGAAAAAATGCTACAATCACGGACTGGAAAAACACCTCAAAAATCAAACGTGCAATTCTGATTGAGAGCCGACTAGGCATATACTTACATCTGATGTTACACAAAACAAAAGGGAAAGAGAGTTGGAAGAAAAAGAAAAAGAATCTTTTATGTGAAAGCAAGTTCTTTCAGAAACGTAAGCCACAAGACTACAGAAAATCTTCAAGAGTGATCGTGCAAGATCGTTCAAGACAGTGCCCGGTCCAATACTTAGAGAATATTGGACCGGCGATGGAGCAATCTAATTGGTTAATTTTATTTATTGGCCTTCTCAGCTAACTTAGTCGTGTGATAACATTTTATAACAGATATGGAATTTTCAATCATGCAAAAGTCTTTTGGCCTCCCTGACTTCTCTCCCTTTGCTTCCTCAAAAAATGGAAGAGACATTTTCCAACGCCGCGTTTACAATTTCTGTTCCAGATTAAACAAGTGCGCGAAAAACAGAAATGTCGATTTTAATAAGATGCAACACAACAAAAGTACACCGTGAGATAATTAAGCATCATTGAATGTTTTTAATACTTTTCAAGCTGAAAAGATGAAACGGTCCGCGTGATAACTCATATCATGGCGAGAGCTTCAATAACCAAAATACGGGGCCTTAGAAAATATTTATTGATATGTTGAGATGAGTAAATTTACTATCACGCCAAAACGCCGCCTACAAAACCAGCTGTTCCTCACTGGCTGTGTTTGCTAGCCGAACTATTAAAATTAACTCGACGATAGATAAAAACTGAGGACTTGAACCTTTGCAAGCCAGGTGAGGTCGCCGAACGAAAATTCGTCCAGAAGGTTCCTTGAAAGATAGTAAATAGTCAATAGTATTCTATTCTCCTACAACTTCAGATTGAACCGGTTCCAGGTGTCCCTCTTTACAAAACGTCGATTATTTGTACAAAGAAAGATGTATGAAGGATGTTGTTTTAATTTACCCGACAATTTTAGCGAAAGGATAACAAATTTGAAAAAAAAAAGTCTCACTAGAAGCTACGTTTCTCAGATGCTTAAAAATAAACATAACATTTCACAATGCAAGTCAATAATCCTCCAGTACGTCTAAACGCGTAAAGACAAAGTTCCGCAAAACTCCCCCGCCACAGTCAACAATACTGCGCGGCATGGGAAAGCCTTTGCGACACTT